AAAGCTCCTGGACACTCGGGTGAAGAACATCACTTGTACAAGTAATGAGCTAACTCCTGACCAGGGAACCTACAGAGCTTTAGAAAGAAGCAGTTCATCAGGAAGAGTAAGATATGATTACAGGGTTACAACTATCAGTCCACCACACCTCCACCTCTGGGGAGGGGAGAGGAACTGAAGGCTGAGCTGATCACCAGTGACAAATACTGTAATCGACCTATAGACTAAGGCTGCCATAAAACCCAAAAGGAAGGGCTAGGGGAGAGTGACTGCAAACCCGAGGACCATGGCACGCATGTCAAACAGCCCAGCAGACACAGTCAGTGAGCCCCAGGTTCAACAGAACGCTCAAAGACTAAGGTGAGAGTGACTTACGAAGGCGTCTCACACTGATCTCTCCAACCTCCCTCTCACTTAGACTCATACATACATCCATACTCATGAGGGAAAACAAAGGTTAGGGCACTCTAGGCTTGCTAAATACATGGGGGCCTAGAAAGTGGTATTCAGAACATGAATACCCCCTCGCCCACACTTTTTTCTTTACATCTCTCCAGACGGCTGCTCATATGTGTCCTTCATTGTATTATTTTAAATAACTGGTAAGTCTAAGGTATTTTCCTCAGTTTTGTGAGCAAGTCTAACAAGTTAATGGATCTGAAGCACAGAGTCACTGGAACCCCAATTTACAGCCTTGTAAAACGGAGGTACAGGCCATGACCTGGGTTTATGACTGCCATCTGAAGTGGAAGCAATCTTGTAGGATTGAGCCCTCATCCTGTGTCAGTGTCAGGACTGAATTATAGGACACTTGGACAGTGTCCTTAGAGAATTTTTGTCTAAGAACACAGCAGAAAACATTGCTGCCCAATAGGTAATTTCCATTTCAGAAAAGTCAAATTCTTCATTAACTATCTAAGACTAACATTAACTAACAGTTCAAAAAGATGTTATCACCTTAAATTAAATGGCTCATCAATGTCACTATCAGCAACTTAACTGAATAAATCTCCTCAGCTCTAGGAGCACTAATGGCAGTGACCATCAGCTGACACTAGATTCAGAGTCTGCAGCCGTAATGTCCACAACTATGCCACTGCTATAACTGCTGCCTTAATAAGAGCTCAGACCACCCCTCGTCACAGAACTAGACGAAGCCAGTGAGGGTCCTTTTCCTTACTATCACACAATACCACAAAGACCTTATACATGATACAGACTTTTGGCTTGAACATTAAGGTAGAAAGAAAAGTAGAAGGTAAAAAAGACATCTTGTAAATGTTAGTTCTGGGGGAGCAGGTTGTCTGTGTGCCTTCCTGTATAGGGCAGGCAGATGTCTATTTGTCTCTTCCTGCAGAGTGCTGGCCATGAGTACACGGGTTAAATAAGATATAAGGCACAGTGAGCTAGCTCAGAAACAAAGTGCTAGAGCTGGAGAGGTGGCTCAGCAGCAAAGGGCACTGGCTGCTTTTCCAAAGGATCAGGGCTCACTTCCCAGCACCGACACAGTAACCCACAAGAGCCTGTAGCCTAGTTCCTGGGGACCTCACACTATTTTCTGGCCTCTGCAAACATGTGGTACATAGAAACTCATGTAGGTACAGAGGCTTACATACACAGTGGATAAATAAAAACACAGTAAACAGAAACAAAGTGCTACACAACAATAGGGCATCTACAAACACAACATATTACCTATTTAACACCTGGTTTTCTGTTTCTAATTCTTCTTTCTTTGCTTCCAAGACTTCTATTTTCTCCTGCAGTCTCTTCAATTTGTTCTCATGAAGAGATTTTCTCTAAAAACAACAACAAAAAAGGATTAGTATGAAAAAGTCCACTGATACATAATTTCCTATTTGAAAAAAAACTATGACGAACACTTAAGGTATTTTTTAAAATTTGGAGATTAATATTTTCAGTAAATACCAGGACAGAGATTAGTACATGGCTTCTACTGAAATTGCAAAGCCAAGAAACTCAGATCTACCCTACATCCTCAGTGTAACAAACAGTATCATTATGAATGCCTACCAGAAAACAGCACCAATAACCAATTCATTGCAGCAAGCTAAAGCAAATGGAGGCAGACTTTACTGAGTGCGCCTGCCATCTGCAAAGGAAAGAACAGGCTCTTCATAGTCTGATGATCCACAGTTAAAGAACCTGGAACACAACTTAAAATTAAAAGCCTATTTGCAACCGATAAACTCTTACCAAAGCACAAAGGGAACACATCAGAATGCTAAGATAAAGCACAAGCCTATCTTAGTTTAAAAGTATATCTTTCTAAACATTAAGAGAAAAATAAATTTAACTTTATAATACATAAAGAAAAACTTTGTAAAAATGAACACTGTATGATTTTTTTTAATTAATGGAATCGTCAAAGTATACAAAAGGACTATATGAACTAAGGCATTTTTTTTCAGTTTTCATAAGCAAGTTTTAAAAAAAGAAAGATACCCATCATGTTGGAATTAACTTAGCAGATCCCTTAAATATGTTTCTGACTGTTTATTGACACATAACAGGCTTATAAAACACACAGAATGTAAATGCAAAGCTCAATGAAAATGCACAAAGCAAATGCAGGTCAAGACCACTGCCAGGACAGGGTGCGTTATTCTCCTCTCACCAGAACCCTTCCATCATTTGAAAAGGTACCCAACTAATTTATCTGCCACCATTTGAATTTCATTCCATGAACTGAGTACATCCTTTTGCAGATGACATTTTCTCTCACTCAACATGCTTACGAGCTCTCATGTTATTTCCTCACCCACTGCCACATGCTGTTCTTCACTTCTACTGCATTACATTCACCCAACCCACTAAGGAGCACATAGGTACTGCTACTTGTGACAAACCGAGAGGTTCACAATGGTGTTCCAGAAGTAACACCACTGTGTACGCTCCTTAGCCTTTAACATCAAATAGCACGCCCACAGGCACCCCCACAGGCCTCCTCGAGCTCCTCCTGAGACATGACCCTGGCACAGTTACCACTCTTCTGCCTTAATGACTATACTCACTCACTTGTGACCTGGGGAACATGGGGCCCATTCATCCATCAATCTCACTCGCATAAAAGAAACTATGTAATGTATAGCCTTCACGATACTTTTTTCTAAGCATTTTATCTATGTACAGAAGCAATGCTATTGAACATTATAATAGTAATTTTCCATTGTTATACTGTCATCCAATGTACAAATGTACCATATTTTAACTATTTTCCTATTGATAAAAATTTCGATTGTTCCCAGTTTGGAATTCCAAATTTTTGAACACACTTTTGGTAGGTATACATACTCATTCTCAATAAATATCTAGGACACGGAGTATTCATACTTTAGCCTTAGCATATTCTGCTACTTTTTAAAAATGATTCTACCAATTACACACCCACCAGTTTGACACTGGAATTCAGGCTGGTCTACATCCTTACCAACATTCATTGTAGTCAACACTGACGTTCTAGCTATTCTAGTGAAATATATTAGAATCTTATTGTAAACGTTGGTGATTTTCTTGATACTTATCTAAAGATGTTAAATATCTTATCCTATCAGCCATCTGTATTTAGGGACATTGTGTGTACACATGTGTGTGCTTGGTCTAGTTTTAATAAAAGAAGAAAATGTTTTTTTTTTTTTGAGTAATCTGATTCTTACGGATTGGAAGGAGTTCCTTAAATATCCAGGCTATAAACCATTTTGTAGTTAAATATATTACAGATTCATGTCTCTTGGAGAATTTTCTTTTTATTTTTAATTTTTTTATGTGTATGTATGCTTTGACTGCATGTATATTTGTGCACCATGTATATGACTGATGCGCTGACAGAAGCCAGGAGAGGGTATGGCATTCTTTAGGACTGTCATGTGGGTGCTGGGAATGGAACCTAGGCCCTCTCTGGAAAAGCACCCAGTACTATTTTAACAATGAAGTAATCTCTCTTCAGCCCCTCTCATGCAACTTTCTCTTTAAGATAAATAAATAAATAAATAACACACTTTCAAGAAAAAGTTCTTTATTTTTAGAAAAATTTACTTTTATTTTCAAACTGTCAGTGATCTCGTTTATAGTTAATGCTTTCTATGCCCTATTTAAGAAACATTTACCCAACCTCCTGTGGTTTTCTTCCAAGGTCTCTGTCTGCTTATTTGTTTGTTTAAGTCCTGCCTATGCTTGCTTGAACCTCTCACTCGTGCATATGTGAGTCCTTTCACCCTTGCAGTGCTGAGGAAGGAGCACTGATTGACAGGGTGTCCTGAAGACTCTTCTCTACTGAGACGCAGCTGTGGACACCTTTGTAGCAAGCTCTTGCTTGCTTCATTTTTCAAGATTGGTTATTCTACTCCTTCCAGAACTGTATAAGTTTTACAGTTTATTTTTTATTTTTTTACAAAGAAACATCCAAATATTTTGATTATACTTAGTTGTACATCTACTTAGGAAGGACTAGTTAAAAAATTAATTTCTTAAAGCACAAACATGATATAGTTTCCTTCTTTAATCATTCTTTAACTTTTCTGAGCAGTTTGTAGTTTAAAATATTGATGATTTATATATCTACTATCAGAGTCATTCCTATACATTTAAAATTGAATGCTATTATAAATATTTAAATATTTCATTTTCCAATTGTGCATAACAAAGTAACTGGTTTGCTGCTTGACTTTTAAGTCATCAACTTAAAAATGTGCATATTTTAGGTTTGGTGTGGTGGCACATCTTTAATCCCACACTCAGGAGGCAGAGGCAGCGGATTTTTCTGAGTGAAAGAGCAACCAGGGATACAGAGCAAGACTGTCTCAACAAATAAATCAAGTTAATAAATAAATGAATCCCCCACACCTATTTGTAATACTAACTGCTACATTTGCTTATATTTCATATATAATGATGCAATTTATGAATGATGATCTTCTCTTCAACCATCATACCCATTTTTTTCTTGCTCCATTAAATTAGCTAGAACCTCCAAAGCAATAATGAACGAGACGTTCACAGTGGAAGAATGTGGCTTGTTCCTGAGCTTACGTAAAGGAAACATTTAATCAGTAAGTGTGCTAGCTAGAGGGTTTTGTAGTTACTGATGACCAAACTGAAAATCCCTCCCTACTACGGATCTGTGATAGCATCTACTGTGAAAGGTACTGGGTCCCTGG